CAAATTATCTGCTGGAGAAAGAATACGTTCGAGGATCAACTGATAAGACAATGTTTATCAAGTTGAAGGGAAAAGATTTGATGATTGCACAGGTGTATGTTGATGATATTGTGTTTGGGTCGACTGCAGAATCCTTGAAGAATGAATTTGTGAAATTCATGGAAGCCGAATTCGAAATGAGCATGATCGGTCAGCTTAATTACTTTCTCGGATTGCAGGTTAAACAACATGCAGATGGTATCTTTCTGAGTCAAACCAAGTATGCTCAGAACATGGTGGAGAAGTTTGGATTTCGAGATTCAAAAGGAGTCAGAACTCCTTTGGGACAACAAGAAAAGTTGTCGAAAGATGATGGTGGAAAAACAGTTGATCAGAAACTCTATAGAAGCATAATTGGAAGCCTTCTCTACCTGACTGCAAGTCGTCCAGACATCTCCTTCAGTGTTGGTGTATGTGCAAGATTTCAATCTGCTCCTAAGGAATCACATCTTAAGGCAGCAAAGAGAATTCTCAGATATGTCAAAGGAACGACAGAACTAGGATTGTGGTATTCCAACAGGTCTGGTCTTGATCTCATCGGATTCACAGATTCAGATTGGGCTGGCTGTTGTGATGACAGGAAGAGCACAACTGGTGGATGCTTTTATATTGGAGATAACATTGTTAGCTGGAGTTCGAAGAAGCAAAATTCCATTGCCTTATCCACTGCCGAAGCTGAATATATAGCTGCTGGAAGTTTCTGTGCTCAGTTGTTGTGGATTCGACAAATGCTGCATGATTATGGTATTGCTCAAGACTCATTCACCCTGTTTTGTGACAATACTAGCGCCATCAATATCTCCAAGAATCCCGTTCAACATGGAAGAACAAAGCACATCGACATACGGTACCATTTCATAGGAGACTTGGTGGAAAATGGAGTATGTGATTTAAAGCACATTGGAACAAATGATCAAAAAGCTGATATTCTCACAAAGGCTCTAGATGCTGATCGATTCGAAAAGCTACGAAGGGATTTGGGTATGTGCTCAAGTCCTCCTTGATGATGCATGCTTAAATAAATAAATAAACATCTCCATTTTGTTTGGGAGAAAATTGGAGATTAAAAATAGTCTTCTGAAAATATCAAAAAGAAGAAGGATCATTTTGCGAAAAGAGAAAATTTGCACCAAGGATATTATCGGTATTTGGAGAAGGGTTTTAATTTTAAAACCCAAAAAGGGATGATTTGACGGCTCTGCGTCGCTGCTCTGGCTGTCATCACAGCCTTATAGGAAGTGGTGTTTCAGAGGACATTGAATACATAACTCGAACAGGTCACTCGTCTTCCTCATTTCGCGTGATTTCATATTTCGCTGAGTACAGTGGTGAGGGTTATCCTTACTCTTCTTCCTACAATTTTCTCTTGGAGAGAACAATGGTGCGAACTCGCTTTGGAAAGGAAACAGGGTCAGGAAGTACAGTTGCTCGAGGACGTGGTCGTGGAAGAAACAGAGGTCGTGGGCGCCGTGGTGGACGAATCAGTTCTTCTCCACCTCCCAGCGAACCAGTTAGTGAGATTCCAACTCAACCTGAAGCAAGCGAGGAAGTTCAGGCTGTGGTCACTGACAGTGTGACTCCGCCCTCTCCTAGGGATCACATTGCTGATGCTGAGGAACTTGTGCAGAAAACCCTTGATGAAACTCAAAATGATAGTCCTGAGGATGATATTCCTGGAGATCAAGCGACTGATCATGCTGAAAAAGAGGACGATGGGAAGGAACAAGAGGTTGGTGAAGCTGATCCCAGAAATGTTGAGGAAGACACCATGATACACTCCGAGGGAGCCCCTGAATCTGAACACCAGAGGATCGAAAAGGGTACTTCACCCCTTCATCCTGAGGAACCAGCGGTTACTCATGAAGGTGCAACTGCTGAACTCTCTTTGTCTCTGTCTGATGAAAGTCTCAACACAATCATAGATAGAACTGTTGACAAACTTTTTTCTGAACGAATGGAGCATGAAAATGCTGTGGTGATGCCTGCACCGGTTGAACCAGAAACCAAGTCTGACGACTCGGACAATGCCCCTCTTGCCACTCTGAGAAAACGCCACTCTGGAAAACAAAAGAAGAAAAGGAAGATTTTGATGACTTCTCTGGTCCTTCAAAGAAAAGAAAGAAGGTAGTGATTGCCAAGATGAAACTGAAGCAAAAGAAGTCAAAATCTCGAAAAAGGAAAGCTACACTTCCCCCAGTCTCGGCTGAACAAGCAATGGACGTTACACATTTCGACGATGGAGCAGAGTTGTTCGAATACGATATCTTAGCCAATCGGAAATTTGTTCCTGAGGCCCGTTTTACCGACCCCCTTCACAAAGACGTTGGCTTCCTCGCTTTCTTGAGGATGAAAGGATTGTGACGTTGGGCAGTCTGTCTCAAATCCTATTGCCCGAAGCTTGTCCGGGAGTTCTATGCCAATCTCACACGAGACGTACTGGAAGAGGAAAGTCCTTGGTTCCACAGGGCTTATGTACGGGGAAAGATGATTGAACTCAGTCCTCAAGTAATCAACAAGTTACTACATCTTCCGTCTGATAATCCTGAAGTGTATCCGTCTACCTTGATCAAAGAATCCCGAAGAGAAGTGGCACTTCGACTATCTGCATGGAAATCAGATGACTTTGGACGAGCTGGCCTGGGTGCAACTGAACTGACTATGAAATATCAGTGTCTGTTTCGATTTTGTGCAATGAATGTTTTTCCCACCAGTAATGGGACTAACATTGGATATGAGATGGAATGATGAAGTATGCCCGCGGCAAGTCATTTGACAAAACGAACCTCCCATATCCGGCCCTCATTACACTGTTACTGAAGCAGAATGGGATCCTTCCTGATCCCACTGAAGATTCCATTCAAACAACATTTTTCAAGCCTAGGTCGAACTTGCACAAGCTTTTCAACGACTTTAAGGAACCTCTCCCAGCCGATCCGTCCGGTCAGCTCTTGGAAGCCCGAAGGATACTTCTTGAAGTTTTGCAGGAACAAGCTTCTATTCACTCCACCTTAGCTGAACATAGGAAGAAAATCATTCGTGCTCTACATCTTCATCCTCGGTTTGCCTCCGGTCCGGATGAGGAGGAGGAACTCCCTGACTTCCTATAAGCATCCCAGCCTTTTTTGGCATCTGTCCACGCACGGGGGAGAGATGCAGGAGAGAGGGGGGATTGCTGCTGCATTACTGGAAGGAATGGGATCATCGGATCATCAAGAAAGGGGGAGCTCGGTTTGAACTGTGTTTGTAGCATCACTGTGTCATGACTTCTTAACTTCTGCCTGTTGCTGTTTTAGACTCTTGTTTTGCTGTTCTTGGACTTTAATTTCTGTAAAGGCTGCATGTAGCCTTCTTTGGATTGATGGCATGTAAACCTAACCTTAACTTACTCTTAATTTGGATTAATCTACATGTGTGGGAGATTATCTCCTGCATTGTGTGTGTGGTCACATATGCCAAAAAGGGGGAGATTGTTAAGATAATCTCAATTCCTCTACATCTAATTTTGGCATAGTGACAAAAACACTTTTTGCTTCTGGGGTCGTTGGCTTTCAAAAACAGCAACTCTGGCCCTGCTGGTTAAGTCCAATCATGCAGCCCTTGTGTCCCCTCTCGTTGGTGGCTGCTCAAAGACAAATTGGACATTTCGAATTTGTCTTCTTGTGATCAGAACTGATTTGATACAACATCATTCCTTGGTTAGATCAAAGGGAATTTAATGCATGTCATTTCATGGCTGCTGTGGTGGTATGTTTCATTGTATTAGAGTTTTGGGAAGTAGATAGAGTGATCTTAGAGAGATTGGGTAGTAAGATAATTATTGTGCTTATCCTCTCAACAACTTCCCTTCCACCTCCATGCATTAAGTAAGTGATTTTAATTGTATTTCTGTTGGAGAAGCTTGGAGATCAAAGGAAGACTGGAGTTCTGATCAGGGGAGCATTCGAACTCTGTGCAGCCCAGCTATGACGGTTGTTAGTACGAGTTTGTAACAACTGAACCTTGAAGGGTAATTAATTCGTAGCGTGGGTTGGTGGAGGTTTGAGTGTTTTGTTATTAATCAGCACTGATTAATGAACACCTCCTGGATTGGTATCCCCCGGATGTAGGATGGTTTATATCCGAACCGGGTAAACAAATAGCATCTCATTTATTGCTTTGAAATACTTTCATTTACTTCATCGACAAGTGGGTGTCATAACTGTGATATAACTACGCTTCGGGAGGTTGGCCCATTTGGATTTGTGTATGAGGATTTATTGGAGTTGCACTCATTTCCATCCCAACAAAATGCATAACAGGAAGAGGAGGAACAACTCTTATCTGGTTCCAAGGCCTCGGGTTTCCGAGGCATCTAGGCATGTTGTTCAAGAAGAAGAAGAGAGGCTAATCTTGCACAATACTCCACTTCAGAAGAAAGTGTTGGAGATAAGTTTAGTATTTGCAAAGTGAGAAAACTTTGCTTCCTTTTGTCAACCATCATTCTATTTTGACATTGGATTTTATTTTCTTTTTTGGAGTCAACATGTTTATTGATACTCATGCTTTCTGACAGCGGAAAAGTGTGGTCTAAAGAACATAAGCAACAATCTGGAGAGGTGTTTGTCCTTGGTGAGATAATAATATATGAAGTATGCTCTAAATGGGTAATTTGTGTTGAATTGTAAGAACTGGGTAGCATTACATGTGATTTTAGAAAGTTAATATAGATTTGATTTGACAATGAAAGCAAAAATCTGCCACAGGCTAAGGTATCCTGAAAGAATGTTGTCATTCATCTGATATGATTAAATATTCTGCACATTGAGGTCATGCAAATAGTTGGAACATGTTTTTCTTCTAGTCATGATTTATCATATATTTACTTATCTTCTGCTTCTTGTCTGCTTAGTATGTGGAAGAAAGAATGAGTGGGGTTATATCTCATCTAATTAGACTTTCGAAACAGGTTAATTTCCATTCTTTTATCTCATCTAAGTTTTTCTATGAAGACAAGTAGTGTGTATATATCATTCATTATCCAAGAACAAGTAAGGTAAAATGACAAATCTGCCCATCTATCTGTATTATAATTACACAGGATCTTCAGTCGGTAGACTATGCATTTGAAGATGACGAAGAAGACGAGGATGACGACGAGGATCTCTTCATAATCCTTAACCTTTTGCATGACTCCACAAACATCCTAATAAGAGGAAATTCACAATTTTAATTATTATCTATACAATGTATATGCAATTTATTTTTGAAACATATTACTATAAAATAATAGTTTCATCATAGCTATAAGTTTAATTTCGTTGTAATATATTGATATAGAATGTATAAAGTAGTTCTATTCGATCGCTAAGAAATTATAATAATTTTTTAACAAATTTTAAATAGAGATATATAAATAAGTTGGTCGAAAATTAGGACAAAGTAGAGACGAGACATACTCCCATGGCACATCTCCGACGAGCATCCAGTCGCCATCTTTGTCTTCATATATTGCGATATATTCATTGCATTCTTCTCTGTCCCGACCTGTTTACATTCGATGAATATATATAAGAAAATTTAATTTCATTTAGTTTTTTGTTTATTTATTTATTTATTTCATAAGTAGGATCTTTGTTAACTTTATTTGAACCATATCTATATATAATTAAACACCATCTTATTTTCTAGAAGTATTTTAGTCCTGCTATAATAGTAAAAATATAAATTTATTATTATATAATTTAAATTAAAAAAAAAAAAAAAGAAGCTAAAATGATAAACATTCTGTCCCTTAATTAGTTCAAATATATAGATTTTAATATATTCTGAGTGAAGAATAACTTTTTAATATAATATTTTTAAAAATAATTTCTACCTATCATACTACTTGAAAATAGATGTTGTATGTGGTAGTTAATTACTAAATTCAGCTGTACCATAATTTGGGTTTTTTAATCTATTTGAAATTATTTAATAAATAATAATATAATATTTTGTTACAAATTTATTTGGTGTTTTTTATTTTATTTTATTTTTTTATTATGTATAAACATATTTTTTTAAAAAATAATAATAATAAATTGAATGGTAAAATTTAAGGAGTGTTATATATATATATATATATATATATTATTGGACTTACCGATTTGAAAGCAGCGGAAGAGCCGGCGGAGGGCGGCGAGGAGATGGGAATATTGGTTGTGGGAGCGGAGGTCGATCTTCCGCAGATATGGCGCTCCATCCATGCTTACTTTCACGTATAATCTATTTGTACTTGTCGATGATGATTCAACATTATTAATATTGCTGTCGTCGTCCTCCTCGATCCTCATGGTCTTCTTCCTCCGGTAGGAGCAGACCGGCGGCCATCCGACGACTGCTACCTCGGAAAATACTCTCTTCTTGTCTTCTCCGGGGAGCCCCAGCCGGAGCTCCGTTTCGAGCTGCAGGGAATGGGATGAAGCACTAGTTATTGTACTAGTAATTGCTTCCATCTTTAAGTGTTTGATAAAATGCCTCAGAGAACAATCCATCGATCCGATCCAATTGGTGTATATATATATATATATATGTATGTATGTATGTATTGTGTATGGAGAAGAGAAGACAATGGCAGGTAAGGATGGGGTGACGGTCGGTGACACAGAGAACAATAGTGCCCAAATTATGTATGTATGTTCGTATGTATTATGTTTACATATATATATATATGTGTGTGTATGTAGAGAGAGAGACAGAGAGACAGTACATGTGATCGATCAGGTTAGACGTTCTTCTTCTTCTTCAACCGATCAGTTTAGACAATATCACTGTGTTTCTTTCAGTTCGACCTTATTTTTTTATGATCTGGACCCAACCCAACAGATTCTTTTATTTTAAAATAATAATAATCTCGTCTGTGGATATATGATTAATAGCTGAATTTCCTTAAGAATTCAAATTTTTAGGTGATACGATCATTCTGCGTATCCGACAATAATAATAATAGTTTGGGTACAATTTGTCTAAAGTAATAGTCTTGAAGAAAAAACAAATACTATCATATTAAATAATTTTATTATTATTATTTTAATTTTTTTTTTGTAGAAATTATTCAACTTTTTACTATGATCCAAATCTAAACCCTGCATTGATATATATATATACACGTGTGTTGGAAACAAATTTAAATTTTTTTTCTTTTTTTTTTTAGGTTATATAAATTTTATTGAATAATAATGGCTCTCTCTACTTGATCATGTGATGATACTGTATTGGTCAATATATATATATATATATATATTAGTTTGCAACTAATCATTGTTTTGTAAACAACATGAAAAAATGAGATTTAATTAATTTAATCCAAATTGGGTAGAAATGGATCTTCAAAGTTGGATTGGAACTTTCTATTTTAATTTCAACTTTTTAATTAATTTTGAGTCTTTTTATAGCTTATATATGTCATGGTACACTAGATAAATATTAATTCTCACGTGTGAAGGAGACAAAAAGATTCGCATTTTTTAGTGACGTGAAAATTTATAATCATTATTTTTTTAAGCACACATCAGATAAATTTTCGGGCGCAATAATTTTTAAATTATCTCAGTAAGGTAACTAAGACATTAAACAAACTTTGTATGACAGATAAGATAAAAAAAAAAAAACAGTTGGTTTTGAACACGGAACTAGATGTTCGCATATTGAATTTTGGTTTGGAATTAATACATCTAAAAGATCGTACTCAAATCAATATAGATATGGATGGATTTGAATTAATACAAATATATATAGCTTATAAATTAAAATTAATATATCTGAAAATTAAATAAGCCCATACTACTACTCCCTCTGCACATTGAATATATATATATATATATATTTTTTTTGTCAACAAAAAAGAGAAGAAGTGCAGAAACTCCTAATTAAATTATAATTCAGAAATTGAATAATGGAATATTTTAATTATGATATAGTCAATAATTAATTAGATGAGGTAGACAAAAGTATAATTATACATATGTGTGTATTAATTAATTAAGATTATTTGGTGTGTGTGTCTGTCCCCAACCCAACATATGCTTCCTTGAGGTTTGGCAATCAACACATCATATGATACTGACCGGAACTAGCGTTTAATTTCTCTAGTGTCGGTTTCTCTATATATTCATGTACTCTTATATATAAATTTTTAAAATATAAGTAGTTGTGTTAATATTTGAATATTAATTATTATATCAAAATATAATACAAATTAAAAAAAATTACAAAAATATTTTCATTAGGCGTCTTGTAATACTAATAGAAAGACATTTTTATAAAAAAAAAAAAAAAATTTATACAAATATAATAATATTTTTAATGTCAAGTACAACGATACAAAAGGTAAATGTGACTCTTAAAAACGGATAGAGGAAGTATTTTATATCATATATATATATATTGTTGGGATAATACCGGAAGAAGAACAAAATGCAAACCAAAATCAGATTCGATATACTCCGTCACGCCTAAGTAGGGTGTTCAAACTGTTCCACTAAAACCTTTCTCAGTTTCTCTTCAATCAATTCTCCTTTGTGTCAAAGTACGATGAATGATAACTGCCAATAATAAAAACCAAAACTCCTTCAATGTGAAGGATAAAAATCACGAGGTCTATCACCCAAAATTCACTATATCAAAAAGTTCGTACAATCAAAGATAACCGCAACCAAAAGACTATCAAACTCCACACCCAATTACAAGAATCGAACCTCAATCACAAGAGATCTCTCAACTACTAACAACCCATTCTAATCCCAACCAATAAGATTCAAAATAGAATCCAAACAAATAGTGAGAAATCAACGATATCAAAAAGAAACTTCCGAAAATGACGAGATCGTTGATTAGAATCGAGTTGAATATATTCTCTCCTGCTTGGTGATTCTCTTGCATGCATGAAAACGATTGTCTCTCTCAAATTGCACCCAGATGACCCCTTTCTCAACTATGTTGGCAAGGCTAGCAAGAGTGGCTTCTTAATTCTTTTGGGCTAGAATTGTTGAGCCTCGAATCTAACATATATATATATATAGTAAGGATAATCTATATAAAATACAGAAACATTTTTATTTTTTTCCAATTTTTTGAGATAAAAGCCAGCAAAAAAAATACACTAGACACAGACAAAACCTACAGGTTTAAGAGGGTTTGAACACGTAAATAGGAATCAAACATTTTTAATCATAGGTTTGATTTGTATTTATTAATTTTAATTTAGATAGTTCCGATTAAAGAAACCGCCAATTTGGTTTGAATCCTTGATATATATATTTAAGTTAATATTATTCAAAAACCATCAATTTTAGTTTCGATGGTATATGCACATTTTTTTATTGTAAAAAATGTGTATAAATAATAATTAAAATATAAAAGGTTTGTTTTATTGTAATTTAAAATTGATTTGAAATAGATTATTGTTTTTAATTTTTATTTAAATATTATTTTAATATGATATTTTGCTAGAGATTTTGGTATGTTTCTTTTGAAGTATAGTTTGGAAAATATTTAAATTTGATATTAAAATATTGTATGATTAGATGATTTATGAGAAAAAAAATATATATTTTTTAAGGAGAATGTAAAATCCAAATATTAAAAACTTGGGGTTTGGAGCTAAAGAAACAAACAAAATCTTTTATTATAAATTGTGTAGAGTCAATTGATTTTAATTTGAATTACAAAAGAACATAGCCAAAGTTAAAAATTATATTTTGACCTGTGAAGTTGATATATTTTGACCGAATATTATGATTTTGTTTTTTTACTGTTTCAAACTAAAATTAATATTATTCACTTGTTTTTAATAAAAATAAATTACTTTTTCTCACAAAAACATCGTATTAAAATACTATTTAAACAAAACATCGGTCAAATAAGCATACAATTGAATGACAGACGGAGTATTTTTTTTTATATAATCATAATGATAGTAATTATAAATATATTATTTTTATTACTCCTACAATTTTGAATTTGTTCATTTTGTATTTTTGAACGAATATGAATATTTTTTTATATTAATATAAAAAATTATGTTAAATAATATAAATAATATCTCATATGAATTGATAATTTATCAACGAATATGTATTTATATTATGCTCCATTTTAAAAATATATATATATTTATGAAGAATTATTTCACCTAAAATCACTAACCTTAATGACGCAATAGCACTGAGTGCGGGTAAACCCCCACCATGCCTAATAAACTTCTTCAAAACATCAACCATCGTATTAATATTTATTTATATTTCATCAAACAACTATTCAAAAAATCCAAACCCGAAATCAAATCCACAAACAAACACTACCCATAATGTTCCATTTGCTAGCATAGTAGAGGTGTCTAGCAATTATTAGCATATTATTCATAATAATGAATCAAAAGAATAAAAAACAAATGCATTATTAACACATGCACCTTCTTATTACTTCAAACAACTGTGAGAGAACCTAAATAAAAATCCTGATAAAATAAAACATAATCCTTCAGAAAATGCAGCCATTTTTCCAGATTTATGGAGATAGCAGCAACAACTAATCAATCCAACATTATTAAATGATATGCTTAAAACCCAAGAACCAAACAATAAGAAAAGAGGTTGAAAATTCAAACTGAGTGAGAGTCCAGCCTCAGAAAGGGATCAAGATTACCTTGCCTTTATTCAATGATGGAATCAATCGAACTCAAGGAAGGGTGCGCTGATAAAGTGGCAATGCACCGAGTGCTTTACGCTCAGCATTCTCCCTCTTAACCTACAGTTAACATTATTAGGGCACGGCATAAAAAACCCAGGAAGAAGATAATACTCCTATACCAAAAGAAAAACAACTCCCTTTGCAAAGAAAATAAGAAGATGTGATGCTCGTAAACAAATTATTGTCAAAGCAATTATTGATAATGAACTACACGAGTGAGTATAAGCGTGTCTTTAGAACAAATACTTCAGATAAGCATCTAAATCTAACTTCAACATGTTGGCTCCAAAACATCATGCTACGACAACAAATCGAGGAAATATACAGGTAGTACTTACAAGAGTCAGCATATCCTGAAGATAGTTCCTAAATGGCGTCTGCATAGCCTGTATAGACAGAAGCGTAATAGATTATAAAAATTAAGAACAAGCAAGGATAAAATGAAAACCTTAAAAACAGTAATATAAGCCTATACATGTCAACTATTACAAATTTACTTACTAGGGGATGCTACTGGAACAGGTAACATTAGGTTTTCTTTGAAGTTTGGATTGAGTTTGGAGGTTTGGGGTTATGTTTTGCAAGAGAAAAAATGTTTTTTTTTTTTTTTTTTCGAAAAATTATTCTACAAATCACAAGTACAATCACAGAAGGGCGAAATTAAACATTCCAAATGACCTAGCTCATCTACTGCAGCAAGATTACAAGATTGGCTAACAGTTAATATTAACACAGCAATATAGCATCACCTCTCACTCAACTTATAAGACACGTGTCTATTTTCCGTAAACAGGTTGCGATTATATGGGGTGTCCATATTTATAGGCCATACGCGATTTTTTCACAGGACCTTTTGAATGTGACTAATTTCAAAAAAAAAAAAAAGAAAAAAACCTTTAGTTCCAAGGTAAAAGGCAAAAGTCGGGTTTATAATGAACAGGAGGCAATAAAATCAGCTTCTTGAGAAAGCTATACACTAAGCACTTGTGACACCCTCGGAGTTGAGCCGTTGTTTGGCCTAACTCCCGTGGGTGGATGAACCTATTAGGCCATCCGAAGTTCAATAATAATTAAATGAATTGAATAGACTACTCATGTTAACAATATAACAATGTGCATATTTTTTTTCGAGAGCCCTAGTGAAAGAACTCTAGAGTTAAGCGCGTTTGCCCTAGAGTAATTTGAGGATGGGTGATCCCGACACTCCCGACATTGCGTGGCTTGCGGTCGGGGTGTCACCAGCACTGGTATGTACAAGTCGAGACTAGAGACTGTATAACCAAGAAGTAGCATCACCACTAACTTATATGCTTCTGCCTTACAGGTTTAATTTCTATATTTTTCCATGTGTAAAAATTGTAAAGGAAAGCAGACAAAGGGATTAAAAGAACAAATTTACCTCCTAATCAATAAACCAAATTCAGAAACTCTGACATAAGCTGAAATATAATGCAACACTGTACATCTTTGCAAAGAGGCAAATAAAAAATGAATGGAATAATATGATTTCACATTACATACACAAGAACACATGCACAATCCATTCACGAAAAAATCACTTCCAAGCATTAGCTAATGTTCCATCACCAAAAGAAAATGGTACAACTCTAGCAAATACGGCTACTTTATTAGTATTTTTTTTTTTTTTTTTGGTATCGGTATACCTGGAGATTTTCTGGAAGATACTCGTGCTTCATTGAAATGTCCATAGCTCGCAGGAGGCGCTGATTCCTGGCATCGACGATCTCTCTCGGTAGCCGATTCAGCGCCTCCTTCACATCAAGATCGTACATCGGGTCGTACAAATCGTCATGTCGGAGACCTGATTGATTTCCGAAAACAAAATCAGAAGTCATCCACCAACCGCAAAACAACCATTCCAAATTCAATTAAAATCCTTACCGTATTTCCGCAAGCGATTGGATATGGTCTTCATGTGAATAGCCGCGAGGGGGTTGCGCTTCGGATCCACAAGCCATTTCGATAGACCTGACAACATTTTTCCTCGCCTCCGTCGAGCTTCGCCTTTCTAGAACGCTCCCTCAACCAATGTATCGCTGCCTTCTTCAGATACGCCGTTAATACACACATGTGGGTGTGTTTGTTTGGGGGGTTTGGATTTTGACTTCGGACTTAATAGTAAAAGTTTTAAATTTGAATAGTTATATGATATGATATAAATAGAGGTTGATGTGATGTTTTAAATGTAAAATTGATTTTTAGTATAATATAAAAAATAAAAAATAGGTGTTTGATTTGATGTTTTTGGGAAAAAAATTTGGATTAACAGTAAAAATCCACCAAAATCCTTCAAACAAACACATTCAGACAAGACTTGCCCAACCGGTTCGCACAGGCGATTCCGGTTCACCGTCGACCGAAACCGAAACCATTTTTTACACAATTCGAAGCGGTTTCGGTTCCTTTATTATCTAAACCGTGAACCGCCGGCTCGAACTTCCGGTTCAGGACATATATATTTAAATATATATACAGAACGAAGAACAGGAAAAAAAGGATAAAAATAGTATTTTTAATGAGAAAAAAGGAAGTAAGGAGTAATATATTTTTATAAACATAAAAAAATATATATATATATTTCATAATAATATAGAATTATGATATATTATTTTTACATATTCATATTTTTCAATTTCATAATTTTTTTATATAATTATATTTAATTTAAATGATATTATCATCTAATAATCTTTTCGGGTTACCATTTTTTATTTTCGTTTGTCCCGAAAAAAAGTTATTATTTTTTAATTTAGTATTATACTATCAACCTAACCTAATAAATACATTTTCAATTTATGTCTACTTTTCTTTTGGACGCTCAAAGTAAACGTCAACATTTCAATAGGACATAGGAAGTATATCAGTATTTTTATAATTTAGTTTTAGGCTAAACTGTTTTTTTTAGTCCGTAACTGGATCCCTTAATCATTTTAGTCCCGTAAGTGGAGCCTGTCGCAAACCAGTCCCATAAGTGAAAAATTTTCGATGTTTTAGTCCTTTGGCGCCGAAGATGCCCGCGTGGCTCACCGGATATGACGTGTCCGCCAGGTGTCGCTGACCTGACGGACACATGGATTTTTTATTTGTTTTTTCATTTTTAAATTTTTTTTTAACTTATTTTTAATTTATTTTTAATTTTATTTGTATTTTTTTTATTTGGTCTAATTAAAAAAATTAAAAAATAATAATAATAAATTCACGTGTCCGCCAGGTATCACTGATCTGGCGGGACACCTGGCGGACACGTCACCTCCGGCGAGCCACGCGGACGTCTCCGGCGCCGGAGGATTAAAACAACAAAATTTTTTCACTTATAGGACTAATTTGCGACATGCTCAACTTACAGGACTAAAATGATAAAAGGGTAAGTTACGGGACTAAAAAAACAGTTTACCCTTAGTTTTATTATTTTAACTTAATAGTAGTATTTTATTTAATTACTTATTGAATAATTATATCAATTTTTCAAATTTCATAATGATATTATATTATCATGCCTCTACCTCAAAAGTTTGTAAGATTTTGATTTTGGATTTAGTGATATAAATATGTATTGATGAATATAAAAATTAATTTTAGTGTAATATAAAAAATAAAAAATATGTAATTAATTTGATGTTTTTAGAAAAAAAATATATTGAAATAGTAAAACCGAAAATCAATCCAACAAATAAACACACTTACAATTTTTAACATTATGTTTGACATGTTATTAATGTAATCTTTTCATAAAAAATATATCATATATATATATATATATATAGAGAGAGAGAGAGAGAGAGAGATTTCGAATTTTTTAAAGAAAAAAAATGACCGTAGCTAATTAATCAAAACCCCCCAAAAGTATTTAGATAAACAGAGCAGTCTGCCTGAACAAAAGAAAACATGATGATGGATGTAGCAGCAAAACATTAGCAAATTTACACAACACAATATGTACCTACAGGCTACAAACAAGCACCCACTGCTCCGTAAGCCCGATCGATTTCTTCCTCAGTCATTTCAATTGTCGCATCGCTATCACAGGAAGGAGATTCGGCCCCGTCTCCTCCGGTGTTGCTGCCATTTTTGTTGCCGGATTTTGAGCTCACACGTTTATTTCTGCTGCTGCTTGCAACATCCTCGTCATTCTCCATGTTGAGGAACTCCAGCTCGTACATTTGCTTCGAGAGCATTGCCTCTCTGCATAGCTCGTCCTTGCTGCGCGAACCTGAGCCATCCAGCTCTCCCAGCTTCTCAACCAGCCGAGGAACGCAGCCCCACTGCTCCATTATCTGTTCAATGCCCTGTAGAAAAAACAAAAGGAATTATGCATAGAGTGAATGCACGAACGGGAGCGCGTAATCTGAGGCAGTGACGAAAATTTAAGCGAAAGCACGAAATAATAAAGCTTCATTGAAATGCATAGGTTAAAAACATCATAATGGTCCGAAACAAATAACAATACAAACAATATGATACATCTTAGTTTACATTGTACACTGTTCGATCTGGATTAAAGCAAACATAGTTTTGTTCCCATAATGTTTTAGGATTCCACAGCTGACAAGAGCCCTTTAACTTGTAAGCTTTACGAATTTCATCAACTTAATTAATCATATTTAAATATACATATATATATCATTTGTAGCAGCTACGAGGAGGATATTCAAATCAACAAAGTCTTTGAAAATTTAAGTAATAGAAACTAATAATAGAATTTAAAAAATATTCAAGTGGAGGCGAATTTAGAAGAATACTAGATAAGCCTCATTATTCATTCATTTATCGGGTTCGAACCTGTTGATTATAAAGTAAAACTTGGGGCATTAAGTACCCCCAAAATTCCTATTTCTATTCTGAAATTAGAGTTAAAGACTGCAATAGAAATTTGATCACTAGTAATTGCAGGTTTTGAGAAAAAAATTACTAAGCATCCATCTACAAACAATTTCATATTGGGACATAACAATAGTTTGTCTATACTGAAACAATAAACTGAAAGTAGGCAATTATTTCACAACTAAAGGAGCCATTTTGCTAAAAATTGCGATTGACATTCCCAAGAATTCTACAATAAAACAAACAACACCCAAGCAACAGGATTTTGTAAAGCATATTTACTTTAGCTGAGTTTGCAAGTTTAATAAATATAGGGCAAATAAAGTTAATATACATATATATATATATATATAAGACTGAGGTTGCATACCTGCCCTTGTTTGAAAGCATCAATGGCATCCTGTAAACAGGTCAGGATTCCTTCTGTGGCTACCTTCTTTACCTCAGCAGGCTCCGGCTGTGCATAAGGAAAATATAATCTAGATAAAGGATGGGTATTTAACTTCAGTGCATAGGAATTTAAGTCGGAGTGTTCCATAATACCTTTTCATCTTGCTTTTCAAGCCACGATATGGTTCTTTTAAGATCCTCAGACGCCCACTTCTTCACTGTCGAAGGAGAAAAGCAACCTTTCACCTGATGAGAAAGTGTCACGGTTTAAAATCATGTCAACAGCTAATATAAAGAGCTCGGGAATGTTGTTGTCAAGTTAACCACCTAAGAACTTATCCAAACTGTTTTTGCTCAACACGGATATAAAAACATGCAGGGGGAGAAAAAATTATGTGCACTTGATAGTAAGCAATAACAAACATATATTTTCCACCACAACAAAAATAAGAGAGAACAAAATAGGAGTACCTTGGAAGTACCGGTAGTCTTCTTTGAACATGATCCCTTCTCTTCTTGTTTTGAAGATTTTCTAGATGTGGGCGGTTTTATATCTAGAATGAAAATAGCAAAATTGGTTTAAATACAATATTTCAACCTTTTCCACAACCAAAATGAAACATTAACCAAATGTGCCATACACATAAATAATATTAACCTTGTTTGGCTTGATGCGAAATTGTTTGCCGCCTCCAAGGTTTGCCAGCGTGCATTAGATACATTTCTATGTCAACTAGTTTTCTTTGAGTATAACATTCAGAGATCCAGTCCTACATTCAAATGAAAACAATCATTCCGAATTCCATTAATGGATGGGCTGGGCGATCAACCAAAACACATCAAAGAAGAGAGAAATAAGTATTGTATTTCTTTTTGTCCTGTCTGAGTAATGATGCTACCCAACCCAAGTTCCATGAATTCTTTCTTTTCTTTCTGTGCCTTTCCCTCCTTTTATATATATCTATATATATATATATATATATGTATGTATATATATATTGTTAGGCTAATCACTAATCTATAATGAAATATTCAAAGAAATGGTAACAACAAAAACAAAGACAAGCATAGCTACATTAACTAAGATATGTAACAGTTAGCACGATGTAAACGAAAACATGGAGATTTATTCATATTAGCATAGCATACGTAAATAAAGCAAAGCAAAGCAAATGCATTTCCCCATCATACACGAAATATAGAATGAAATTTATATAAATGTAAAATGCTTTGAACCTTCGATATAACAGTTCCTCCATCAGCTTTAACTTGCCTAAACTTGGGAGTGTTGGCAAATGCACACACAAGAAGGGTGCAATCCGAGTTCCAATCAGGCTGATATTCGGCCCCCATTTCGAGCATCTGCGACCTCAATATACCACGCTCAGGATTCACAAACCCCGACAGCACAAACACCACCCCTTCCTGAACCCAAACATGCCAATCAATTCACCCATCACTAAAACAGCAAAACCAAAAGGCCAAATCCTCATCAGAGAATGCAAATTGAGTTCATCACCATTAGTTTCGAGAAATTCGAGGCAACTGAGCCTGCAGGATAATCAACACTCTCCTCCCCTTTACTTTCCTGATCACATCCATTTTGCTCCTTCCTTGATCCCCCACGGCCTTTCGTTTGCTTCGATTTTTCACTATCATCATCTTCATCGTCCCTGGAACTCATCCATGACGGCAAATTCCTTTTCCTTGACCCAGACATGAGACTGAACCACAACACCCTTTCTCAAGCCCTACAATTTACCAGCTACAAAATGCACATTAAGAGGCAGAACATCAACCGTAGAAATTACAAATTCTGAAACCAAGATGAAATCAAATAGCTAGGAATTGATAAAATTATGCGAATCCAATTGCTGAATCAATCCAGTTGCAGCCAAACAACAGCAAAGCAAAGCAGTTATACATACACAGTATACCTGTATAGAAAGTTTGGTCAGCCATTGACCTTCTAGGGCTCGAAACTTCACCTTCCAGACCCAGCCCGTAGGTGAAGCACAAGCATTTAGACTTGCGCCGGTTTTCGAACCGGCGGTTACGGTTCAAATCCAAACCGGGCGAAGGTTCGGCTTCGGTTTGTAATTTTCCCAAGCCGAACCGTGAACCGCCGATTCAAACCGTTTGGAAGAAGAAGAAAGAGGAGACCTGTGCGGCTGCGGCGGCTGTGGGCTGTGGATGTGTAAAATGATTGGTTAGACATTAGGATTTAGGCCAAATTTTGTGTATTTTAAAATAATAATAATAATATATTTATAATTAAATTTTCAATATATTATTTTTATAAAAATAATAATAATAAAAATAAATAAATATTAATAATATTAAAAAATAATACTAATACTATAATATTTCTTTATATTTTATAAATTTTTATTATATTATTATTTAATTTGAACTACTTACTACATCAATATTTCTATAATTTTTTATTTATTTTTCTTTAAAATTTAATTTAATTTTTTTATTTTAATTATTTTATATTACAACAATATAATTAATTATTATTTATATTATTTTTATATAATAAATATATAACAAACAAATCTAAATAAAATAACAAACAAAATTAATTATTTTTAAATAAAATTCAAATTTAGAAAAATTAGAAAATAAAAAAGAAAAACAATAAAAAATAAATATATATACATATATAAACCGGTCGGTTCAAACCGTAACCAACGACTTATAAATCATAATCGAAATCGTCGAATCGTCATCAAAACTGTCATTCGAAAAATTCGATTTGACATTTTAACAAATCGTAACTGACTGTTTGTAATCGTAATCAGCGGTTTTTACTCAAATGACAAGTAGCTTCAGAATCCAAAATAAATTATGTTTTCTAAAAAATCAATATATATATATATATATTATCTTATTACTCACTTGAATGTTCAATCATATTAATATAATTAATAAAGATTTTGGCATTTTTAAGAGTCTTTTCAACCTCATTTTAAATAAGTTCAATTAGGTAATAGTAATACTCCCTCCGTCCCAGAAATAAGTATCAATTTGCTTTTTTCATGTAATTTTAGAAATATTAATATTATATTGGAATATAGTATGAATAAAGTAAAAATGACCAAAATAACCTTATTAGTATATGTGATATAAAAGTAATGGCATTTGTATAATATATTGTAAGTTGTAAGGATATTTGTAATGTTAGACAGATAATACAGTTACTAAAAGAAGAATGGATACTTTGTTATGGGAGTATATAATATATATACAAATATAATAATTTATAAAATATTTTTAATAATACATGACAACCCTGCAATGTAACGCGCTTCAAGAAGTACTAGTATATGTATATACATGTATATGTGTTGAAATATTTCTATAGGATATATATACCATTATAAAAATTTACTTAAACACAAAATTACAATCTTATAATATCAACAAAATGAACAATCAAATAGAAATTGCTCCCTAGTGATGAAACAAATATTTTTACAAAACTACAGAGAGACAGACCTAGATATTGAGGAAGTTGTCAAAAAATTTCAAAGTTACACCAATAATGTTTGAAATCAAAATGCAATAACGTATCTCACGTTACTTTGCAAAGTTCAAATGATATGTTACAGTGAGATATGACTGTGGACGAATTTTAGTTTTTAATAATTTGTTGCTTGTTTAAGTTATTTTATATATTAAAAAGTTGAATTTTTTTTATTTTAGTTCTTAATAACATATCCCATGAATGACACTACTACCTTTTGATTTTTATGAATCGTTTGCTTTTCTCATTTTGTTTAGATCACTTTGCAAGATTTGGTGTTTATAGAGTTATTTTATATGTGTTGGTTTTATTTTTTTTGTTAATTTAGTTGTTAAATCATTGTGTATTTGTGTATATATGCATGTTGCTGCAATTAAATTATTTTTGTATATAATATGAACAAATAAATAATTTTTTAAATACCGATTGGTTCGGCCCGATTCAATTTTAATTTGGACTATGTTTGGGCCTTAATATTTTAGTTCGAATTAAAATTGGATTATGCAATAATTTGTGCCAAGCCGGCCAGAAATTGTCATTTATAAATAAATATATTAATGTATTGTGTTAATATGTATATACTATATGTTTTTTTGTTAAGATGAAACGTACTTATAATATTTTATTTCTATTTTTTTTAAGTAAATAAATATATTTATAGATCATAAAATTATCTATCTTTTACAAACTAATTTATATAAATTATGTATAAAAATATATACATTTTATTCATTGGATTTTATATTAAAAAAAATTAATCAAATATGCATTATATCGTACCATAATTTATAATTGAATAATATGGTGTCATCAAAATTTCAATGAAATATATAAATTCAAACAAGCATATCATTCTTTTTTAGGTTATATGATTCGGAAAAAAATATATATTTATAAAAATTTGAAAAGAAATTTCTAATCAAATTCAATACTTAGAATATACTCTCCTGTCCCGGCTATCGTGTCATTTTTATTGTAGATACAAAAATTTATGAGAGGTATAATTAGTAAATAATTAAAAATGTATCAGTGAAAATAACTATCGTACGATAAAAATAATTTTAAATTAAGATTGAATAACTAATTAGTTTAATTAAAATTAAATTTAAAAAAATTATAATTTTAAAATGAAATTAAAATGTATAATTTAAAAAAAAAAAAAAAAAGTGAGAAGTATTTAGTTTGTATTTTTATTTTATGTTTAAATAATAATTTAATATGATATTATAGTAAAATAATTAAAAAAGAACCAACTGTAAATTCATTATGCTTTTAATGCTTCGATAAATAGCGTAGAGTTTGGTAGCCAAAATTGCTTAGCCAAGTTCTCAAGATATTTATATAAGATATTTTATTTATTTTATAGACAATATTGCAGTCAATCTATTATTTAAATAAATAAATAAATAAATATCACCAAATAAACATTTATGTTCCTAGGGTAATCTCTTGGGATAAAAATATAGGATTTGTTCTTTTATCATTTCTAATTCAAATTAATATTATTTATCTGGTGTATTTTATCTTATAAAATATCATTTAAATAAAAATTCAAATCAACGCTATATTTTAAATCACGTTCAAACTACAACTAAACAAATCCATAAATTTTCAATTTAGAAGTTATATATAGTAACTATCACGAAGCTCTTTAAAAATAGTTTTCTCCAATAATATACTATGAGTGTATTATTTTAAAATTAAATTTTATTATTTTTAATAGTAATTTAAATATAATATAATATTTTTAAAAAAGAACAATACTTTTTAAATGAAATCACAATAATTATAGGATAATTTTAATTTATATTTAGAAAAATATTCCTATATATTATATGTATCTTAGTTGTCTTATTTAAAAGTCAGACAATTTGTAAAAATTTTATTTTATTTAGACGATTTGTATATCACTATAAATATGTATACATTTTTTATAAATTACATATTTCTATATAGCCTAATGTTATGTTGTTCTATATATAGACATATTTTGTCCGTTTATATTATATTTATTAATTGAATCGATAAGACTATTGAATTGATTCAATCAACATTGTAACCACAGTTCAAATTAATATATAAGTTGTGAAAATAGTAGGAAGCTCCAAAATAAATGCAAGATTACACACAATCTTTTTTTTTTCTTTTTCTTTCTTTTTTTTTTTATAACAAAAAATAAAATAAAATTAGTAGTTTGATATATAGATAGGAATCCTAATGCCAATAGTTTGATTTATTAATTTTTTATTTTTTATGATATATAATGAAGCTAAATTATATTATATTGGGATAGTAGTTTGTAATTAAATTCATGTAACAAGTAGACTATGCAATCATAATTCAAATTAAATTTGATGATTTAGTTGAAGATTTTGATTATTGAATTGTGCCAAATTTCTAGTGTAATAAACAATTTAATATTATTCGTAATGCTGCTCATATTAAAAATTATAACATTAGAAAAATTAATAAATAATTAATAAGTATATTAATAAAAATAATTATATATTAAAATTAAAAACTACATAAATAATTAAATTTAAAATACGATTAAAGTGTATAATCATATTTTCAAAAAAAAAAATTATGTGAAACAGACTGAATGAAAAAGAAAAAAAAAAAAAAAAAAAAAAAGAACACTTTATATACCACAAAGAAAATATAAAAATTATTCATCACTTTCGCACTATTATTGACAAGACATTAAATATATAGATATGTATATATACAATATTAAAAACAATATATATATAATTTATATTAATATAAAATAAATTCAATATATAATAATAATTCACATAACACACGATTATTATTAATATCATCATATAAGATATTATAAAGCACATCTTAAAATATGAATTGTCTAACTTGTTGCCTTGAAACCATATAATGCATGTCTTTTTTTATCTGTTGCACCCTAATCGTCCCTATTAAAATATATTTCATTCCAACCAAAATAATAATTTTATTTTATTATTTTTATTTATTTCAAAATAATAGTTTTTTTACCATAAATAATCATAAACTCATAAAATTATCTTTATTTTTTTTATTATTACGCAACTATTACTATTTTTTTTAATTTAAATTAACACATATTCCTAAAGGCAAAATCAAAGTTTAACTAACACTATATTTAGTGTCAATATAATATTGTTCTTTTACAAGGGAGAGCATAACATTATAATTATATATATATATGTGTGATATTTTATGTAAATTCAAATAACATATAAATCAATAAATAAATGAATTGACTAAAAATTAATTTATATAATATAAATATATTGATATTATAACATTAAATTGTATATATTCAACATATAATACAAATAATATATTAAATTCGTTCGGTAACAAATGACATATTTTTTTCATTTTAATTCATTTTAACATATTTTTTAGTTTTATAAAATTTATCAATTTTAAATGTGTATACTTTAAAAAAATATAAACTTATCAATTTAATTAAATTTATAATATTTTACATGTAGGAGCTACTCAAAACTTATCTATTATTATATTTCTCAATAAAAAATATTTTTTTATCTA